ATAAAAATCGAAATACAATACACCTATGATCGAAATTAGTTGGATAACTTAGTTGGATAACCCACGACGCATAGCCCTTTCTATCACCTCATTATCGTCTCACCTTTAAAACATTTTGGTTGAAAGGTGCCTTCTTCGTAGACCTATAGGGTGCGATCATACCAGCACTAATACACCAGATTCCATCAGAACTCCTCAGCTAAGAGTGCTTGGGCAAAGATAGTAACTAGGATGGGTAAATTTAACATTCGTATAAAACCTACTTCTACCCATTTCCGTAACTCCATCTCAGGAGTGTTTAGCATGAACACTGAGAATAGTACAACAATGTGCGAAATTTGCGTATGTGAATATAAATTGTAAGAATGCACTTGAGGTAATCATCCCCACTCACGAAGTCGTTTTTCATCATGAAACAGAATTATGTCTTCACCAAGAGGTAACCAACCAACTAGCAAGGCACCAACCCTGCAGATAGACTCTGCTACTTTTCAAGCTGCAGTCACGACAGCCGTGGCAGCCGTCATGGCACAACTTAATGCTAACCACGCCAGCGGGCGCGAAGATGGCGCCTGAAATACTAACCGCGATAACAATCAAGAACACCAGCGGGCGACTACCAACGAAAATGCCTCAGTCCACAAACCTAAGAGCAAGAAATAGAAGTTTTGGGACAAAAAGTAGTGTAACCCATCTCAAAAACTCGCTAAAGGACAGCGATCCGTGGCTGCTCCTATAATTACGACAGAAGTCGCAACTCATGCCTCGACATCAGCCACAACATCTGCCACTCAAGCACCGGACATACAATATATGGGGACACTTCCAAAGTGTAACAAGTGTAACTACCATCACACAGGAGCTTGCCGGATTCTACACTGTATCAACTGCAACAGGAAAGGACATATCGTCCGCTTCTATAGGACCCTGACCCAGCACATCGCTTCAACCACCAATACTGGTGTAAGTCTAGTATGCTTCCTATGTGGTGAAACAGGACACTTCAAGAGAGACTGTCCAACCGAGAAGAATGACGGAGGAACGGGAGGAGTGTGACAACCGAACCAGCGAAAGCAACAAGGAACCTTATTAGGACTTTTGGAACGTTTTAAAACAAGAATATTTAAGTACCATATGTCTGTAATGTACGTGGAATGTTGCTAAAATTATCGTCTTTAAAAGTAGTTGAAATACTCTCTCGTGCAATTAAATCAAAACACTTATGCGCATCGAGCGAACATCTAGAGGCCTGTTAGGGATCATAATATGAAGTATCATCGCTAACTACCATAACACGTATACTACCAGTACTAGTTGCTGCGATGTGAATCATCTGCAGTAATAATAACATCGACCAACACAGAACGTACTAACAAGAGGCAAAGGATGCTCTATCTCCCTAACAAACATTTCATTCGAATACAACTTAACACATGTTTTACCAGGAAGTTTCGATAACGTCATTCGATTTGGATTGGTTTAGTCCTCACCTTCCCAATTAAATGTGCTACGGAAAGACCCCTCACCTAAACTCTTGAATATCGAAACCCTCGTCTCTCATAAGCACAAATCTGACACGGACCTCCGGGTCATCTCTCGTTACGGAACCTCGAAGTACTCAAAGAGAGGAGTACCACGCCATCCGACTGTTTTACCAAACTCAATTACATACGACCTATACGCACGAGTTAATGATAGATGGACCAGGAATGAGTCCTACCATGAACTTCGAGATAAGGCTACCCAGAAGAGCGAGTGGATGTTCTACCATTCGATTTAGTCTAGTCGCATAAACCAAACCCATACGTTCCCCACCGACCTAAACAGCAGACAAGATGGTGAAAATCCGTTGGAACGACAAACAAGAATCAAAAATCACATAGGGAGAGAAGCAAGAAACCGCCCTCCAAACACAAAAGCAGGCCCTACGCAATGATCAGGAATCATTACCAATACCTCAAGACGGCTAAAAGTGTACGAAGTTGGCTAGACCACACGTGACCCAGAACTAGGAACAGTAGTGTTCACCCCAGAAGATTGGAAGCACCATCCCTACGACGCAAAGATGCACAAGTTTTCATCGGTCATAAGAGCATTCAGTACATTCTCGACCGAAAAGAACTTTGCCTGATTCAAGGACGATGGGTAGAACTACTAAGCGACTAGGAGTACTAGATTCGCCATTATCTGAGCAAGACCAATAAGGTGGCAAATACCTTGTACAGAAAGGAATACTCAAGCTGCCAAGTAAGGTCATTAGCAATGACAATCCATCCATTAATGTCTACGCAAATCAGGAGAACTCGAACTAGAGACCTTGAAACCAGAGTATGCGATGGGTGAAAACTCAAGAGGAATGAATAAGAACCTAGAAGTCAAGAGCGACGGGGCTCGGTGCCAAGGTCAAAGTAGAATAACAGAAGCCTTCGTGTTCCTACAACAACCAATGACACCCGAAAGGAAGTGGGAGTGGCTAACCATGGACTTCATAACCAAGTTACCCAAGACATTGGGTGGTCTCGATACCATTTGGGTAATCGTCAACAGACTGACCGAATCCGCGTACTTCCTACCAATCAAAGAAACCGACATGATGGAGAAATTAACTAGGACGTACATCAAAGAGACTATACAACTGCATGGTGTGTCAATATCCATTATCTCTGACAGAGATAAGAGATTCATTTAGCGATGCTGGCAACCCTTGCAGGGACTAGGTTAGACTTGAGTATGGTCTACCACCTATAATCCGACGGACAGAGCAAAAGATAAATCGAACACGTACCGGTTAGTAACAAAACCGCCTCACAAACCAGCGGAACTACTTGACTTTACCACTCATTGAATTGGGAGATACACCGCTAGCGAAGGAGCAAGTCCCTAACAGCACCCTCTATGGCCCCGAAATCATAAGGGAGACAACGGAAAAGATCCTAGAAATTCGAGAAATCTCTCCAAGAATGTGAAATCTCTCCCAAATCTCTCTCAATATGAGAAATCTCTCCAAGAATGTGAAATCTCTCTCAAAATCTCTCTCAATATGAGAAATCTCTCCAAGAATGTGAAATCCCTCCCAAATCTCTCTTTGTATGAGAAATCTCTCAAAGAATGTGAAATCTCTCCCAAATCTCTCTCAAAATCTCTCTCAACTTCTTATAATCACTCGGGGCATCCCGACCTGTAATTTAGTCGAAAACCGCTCAAAAACGGAAGTTTACGCGAAAAACAGCCTTAAGGAGCCGAACCCTCTTAAGGAGCCGAAACCTCTTAAGGAGCCGAACCCTCCTAGGAACCGAAACCCTAAGAAGCCTCCTGGACCGAACTTCACCTTCGCTTCTGACAAGATTCGGTTCTGACAAGATTCACCTTCAGTCCGAGATACAAAGCTGAGACCGAACCCTACTCTCGGTTCCAACACACAACCGAACCCTACCTTTGGTTCTATGCTCCTAAGACCGAACCTTCGCAACTTCGGCCCCAATTTCGGATTTTTCCATTTCCTTCCCGGTTTTTGACCCAAACTTCGTTTTAAGCTCGTTTTTCGTGATTTTAACGCGAAATTTTCACCCAAACTCGTATTTTAACATAATAAACCCTAAATATCGATATTTTAATTATATTTTGGGGAAAATCTTTGCCTAAGAATAAAATCTAGTAGGTAAGATTTAGGGCTGGAGTGTTGACTTACCCTTTGGGCAAAGACACAAGTTACCTCCCATACCCACTCCAAGACCATCCCCAGTTACTATTCCACCATACCTGGTAATTTCATTGTCCTTTTTCCCCACTCTTTCCAGCCCAGTACCTTGTCACAAGGATAGAAAAACCCTTATCTCTCCTCCCACTTTATTCACTCTTTCTCAAGGAGAACAAATACATCTCTTTCACTTTCTCTCTCTAAAATTCGAGATTCAAATGCTGGTCTTGAGCTTTTCCTCCACATTTGGTAAGTATCTTCCTCCTATATTTAGATATTCTACTATCCTTCATCCAAATCATGGATTGCTTACACAAATATCGTCATAATTATTGTTAGATCTTCAAATCTTCAAGCATCTCCCAAGTGTTCTTGAGTTGAACACTTCTTTCCTTCCTCATCCATCTACTGAAATCACTCAAGGTGAGTTCATACCCCTATCTTTTCAGGTTTTTCTTAAGTTTTAAGGGGGGAAATACAAGTTAAAACACCAACAACTTAACTAAACTCAAACAACAGCTTTCATCTAGAAAAGTTGAGTCCTATTCATGGACTGTTTTGACCAACTTAGACTTAATATCTTTCACAACTGTTTAATATGGAAATAGTTCAGGTTCATACCTTTAAAATGACTACTTGCACATCTCCATACAATTTTTCTACGATTTATGGTGATTTTTACAAAACTGCCTATCATTTCATAAACGAATTTGGACCAGTCAGTGAATATTAACATTTTCACATAAGTTAGAGACTTCTAAAAATCATAATAAAAATTATGAACAAACTAGACACATTTTCTAAACCCTCAGAAATTACGGAATCAGTTTTCGACTCCGTATGATTTTTCTATAATTGTTCCAAGAACAGGAACAGAAAAGATAAAACTAGAAAATTGTCAGTAACTCATTTACACCTTGTAACTTGCTGAGCAAGGTGTGTATTATCATATAAAAATACATGTTGGTTATATTACATGTCTTTTACCTCATTATAAAGGTTTACATCATATACAAAGAGGATTTCTACTATTACAAAACGTCTTGATAAGCTATAATAGGTATAGTTGATGTTTCCATTAACACAACAAATATATTTGGGAAAGTTTTATTCCCACAAAAAAGGGTTTTACACTCACACACACCACACGTAAACTTGTTAACGTAAATTGTGAGACATTCCTCTTAGTAATCCTAGAGTACGGGTTAAAATTCCTGGTAGTTATAACCAGAGTCTCTTGTAGGGAGAACGTGATAGTTGTGTATAGATCTATATTGGGTTTGACAAAGCACACCTGAGCTGCATGAAACAGCTAGACCGGCAGGTCTGAGGTGACAAGTGTCATTATCTTTTTCGACACCTGAGAAACGTCGTGGCAGGTTCATTAGTCATAGTATGGTTATAGCGACTCACATATGGAATTAACAACACATAAAGTTTACGGGAATTTTTCTCAAATCAAAAAGGGTTTTATGTCGATTTAAAATCACTTTTTATATCAATAAGTATGGATAGTACTGTACACTTTCGGTCTTGGAATTAAAGACAACACATCACTTTTGTAAGGAAAATATTGGATTTTTCTTGGTACCACACAATTCATAACAAAGATCGGTTTCCAAACTCTTCATCTAAAAAGCTTATGAACTCACCAACTTAATTGTTGACACTTTTTGAAAACTACTTGTATTCTCAAGGAATCAACGAAACCAGGTAATCGCAAGCTTTTGTGGATGGAACGCTACGGCGTTGAACAACTATTTTTATATCATGTTGTAATCAATCATTGAAATATGTAACACTTGAAACCATGTAATTCTTTTCCTTTATATTTATGATTGGTTGTATTGCTTTGATCACTGTTATACACGTTGTTATGATACTATACATGAAGTCCGCCACCCTCGGACGTTTCCGCCATCTTTGATTTGGGGGTGTGACACCTACTATGTAAAAGTAAGAGATAATGTCACTGTAGCACAATGAACTTTTGTGATTTGTTCGACTTGACCAATTATGTTTTTTTCTTGCGCATTAGGTCATCTAACTTTTACTATACATGTCAATTAGGTCATTATCGTTAGTTTTTAACCATTCCTCCGTTAACTAGTTTTCTAAATTACACGAATGGCCCCTATGGTTTAAATTTCTTTCGTAATTGGTTGTTATTAGCCATGTTTTAAATCACACGACTAAAACTACCACAATTCTGAAACTCTAGGGACCAAAGTGCAGCATTGTCATCGTCTTCCCTAAATTCTTTCGTATCCCAACTTACCTGACGCTCCTTCAAAATCGATCAAATATGTTGAATCTGATAAATTCATTGTTATTCATAATTTGTTGGTATTAAGTTATTTTTTATACTTAAAAGCCTAATAAAATGTCAGTCAATTTGCTAGAGACATCGTGACGGTTGTTGAAACGAAAGCCAAAAAGATTACCACCGGGGCCGACGGCGATCCGAAAACCCCGGTGATTGATTCTAGACGGAATTCAAGGTTAAACCCAGAAACCACTGAGCTCCGATCATAGAGAAAGAGAGAGAAACAGATAATTCGATCAAATCTACATTCTCCTTTACTTGAAAGAGCAAAATCACAGATTAATTTCAAAGTCTCCGGTTCACCACCCAAAAGAGAAATCGAGAATGAAAAGGGTCAGTTTCTGGCGAATAGGGTGTCACCGAAGAACAGACCTTGGGCTAGAAAAACTGTGATCTTCTCGAACCCCCTTTTCCATTTAACAACTGCTTCACAAAACCAACAATTTTGCAGAACAAGGTCGTCGGTGATTACAAGAACCCGTCAGACCACCCCTCACAAGTTTCTAATCAAGACGCCGCCGCCTCCTGCCGCAGTGGCTAAGTTTCAAGTAAAGATTCGCAGTCCACCACTTTTTGTATCTCCGACCAGACCCAAAACGGCCAGCGCGAAGAAGAAGGCGATGTCACTGCCTAAGAACGTCTCCACGTCAGCAAAGCTGCGGAGTTCGTTTTCACCGTCGAGGTTGGCGACTAGATTGGCTTCGCCGTTGATGCTTAGGAACCCACCGATTTGCGTATCTCCAACCAGATCCAGGGTGGCTACCATGTAAAAGATTTTTGTTTGGTTTTCACATTTTTATAATCATAAAATAACAATAATCTGCAATTTGTTCCCATAATGACAATGTTACACTTTGGTCCCTAGAGTTTCAGGATTGTGGTAGTTTTAGTCGTCTGATTTAAAACATGGCTGATAACGACCACTTACGAAAGAAATTTAAACCATAGGGGCCATTCGTGTAATTTAGAAAACTAGTTAACGGAGGAATGGTTAAAAACTAACGATAATGACCTAATTGACATGTACAGTAAAAGTTAAATGACCTAATGCACAAGAAAAAAACATAATTGGTCAAGTCGGACAAATCACAAAAGTTCACTGTGCTACAGTGACATTATCCCTAAAAGTAAACTAATTTTATCGGTCTATATGGTCTCTAGCAAATTTTAAATGATGAAAATATATACATGCTAATTCACGCTACAATCAGTCCATAAGGTGTAGCCGTGTAGCTCCAGTTGATCCCTAGGTGGATGACAACCAACAAACCTAGGCATGAGCCCAACAATGTGGTTTGTTCCTAAGGCCATGAGGGTATGGGGGTGTCTCTGCACGTAAACATCTATGTGGAAGGGATGTTCACGCATGAACACCACCCCCAATAGGTGTAAATGTGGTGAGGATGGAAGCTGGTCATGGGTTCTCACAACCAATCATAAACATTTCTTCCAAATCACTCATTAGCTTTTCTCTCTCTCTGTCTCTCTCTCTCTTCCTTTTCTCTCTCTCTCTTGTCCACTAGTGAACACCATCCCAAACACTAGTGAATGTAATGTGAAAGAGATATAATGATGATGTGGAATCAATTTCACGGGTGAATACATTGTCAACATACGGGTGCTATGCCTCTGTTGTTGAGTTTTTATTCAAAATAATCCAATTATAAACACATAATTACACGTAATTAGTAACGAAAAACTTTGTAATTTGAATAAAATAAAACTACTTTTATACCCACCAATGATCATTTTGTAAGTACTTAGAAATATTAAGCAAAACTAAAGAAGAAGAAAGTGATACAACCTTTGAAGACTTTGGTTCATTTTGACAATTAGGAAGTTGATGAAGATGACTTTAAGCTCTAAATTAAGTTCTCTATAATGTATCCACCAAACAATCTTTGCACCACCAAAATATGCTAGTAAACACTTGTATAAAGTTGTTCTTAAGCTTTAAGACTTAAAACAAATAAGTGCTTAAAGAGAAGCAAATTTAAGGACTTCACTTCTAGCACCAAATGGAAGAAAGAAGAAGAAAGGAAAGGCTTAGAATTCTAATTTTTTTTTCTGCCATTTAAAAGGATTCTTGTGAGCAAAAAACCAACCAAATCACTAGTAAATGCCTTCATTATATACCAAATGTATATAAATGTCAAGACCAATGAATGAAGAGGTAAGACTTTCTTACAAGCATGAAGTTAAGTAATAAACAATTCAAAAGCATGTCCCCCCATGCTTCCTGAAAGAGACAAAATCTATGTGCTTATTACATATCACGTAACTAGTTAGTTAAGTTATAAACATTTAGTTACCTAAAGTGTCCAAAAGTTTGTACACAACTTTAGTAATCATACCATATGATATATACCTAGTTTTGTTCTCTTTATTATTATTTCTTAGAAATAGTAATTCCTAATATGTTGGTAAAATATTATTTCTCAACATAATGTTTTTTCAATTAAATACAAGTGTTGATATATTTATTAATAACCAAATTATACTAATAAACAATCAATTGGTAGCAACTTGCTATAATGTGTAACTATATACGATCGTATGTTATAAGCAACCTCATTCTATAATGACTATTGGACATACAAGATCTTTCATATGTGGCATGTCACATGGTGTTGACGTCAATTGAAGAGGTTCATATGGTGTTGACGTGACATCCCCAATTCATTTTCTCTTGAATTATATATTATTATAAATCTTAAAATTATTATTATACTATTATCATTAAGAAAAAACAACCTACACCCACCATTAATCCTCTTTGGCAATTTCTTCTTCCCTAGTTATTCTAACGACAACCCCTTTACTCTCCAGTTCTCTCCTTCTTCCCATTCATGCTCTTTTGGCTTCTTTTTCTCCTCGGCTTTCATAGTTATGAACATGTTGCACATTGATTGAGATTTCTCTTCGTTACGAGCCATGGTGAAATCGAACTAAACACAAACCCTAACTTAGTTGAGTTAATTTGAAGGTAATGACTCTGATAGAGATTAGAATTGCAAAATGTTTTTTGTGAGGTCGATTTGGGTTTTTACAAATTTGCCAGAAAAACACACTCGAGACTTCCTTTACTGATCATTTCACCTATGGACCAAGCACTCCCATTTTGGTGAATTTATGCTGGTTTCTTCAAATTCTCTTTTGGCACCTTGACAACCACCTCATCTTCCACCACCACCACTTTCCTCCCTTAGAAACCTATAAAAAAATTGAACCTACTGACCGGTAAGTTTAAGTATGAGGAAGGGGAGGTGTAAAGAGATGAATAAAGGCATCAATTTGAATAATTTTTATAGTTGTAAAAAAATATTATTAAAAGATTTATTAACTTAAGAGATTTTTTAAATATATTTTAATTTCATGGTAACTTGGAAACCCTATTATTATTACATATATAAAAGACAAAAAAATTTTTAAACTTTAGGCATAAACGAAAAAAAATCACATGGATAAAACCGACAAATTTTACCAAACTTAAGGACTTTCATGTTAAAAACCTTTTATTAACCCCATAAGATTGGGTGTGGCCTCAACACCAACTCGGCATCCTCAGAAAACACTGCCCCATAGCTTTTGGCAACATCCTCCACGACATTCCATTACTGAGCCTTTCTTCTCACTATCTTTCTTCTCCATCTCTTATTATTTGCTATTTCCCACTCATCAACCATGACAAAGTGTGGCAAAGTGAGGCGGAGGTGAAGAAAGATGACGTGAGCACACTTTTGGGGCGGTGTTTGGCAAAGACGACACGACACTGCTTAGTCTTATTAAAGAGCTTATCCTTTTTTTTTTTCCGCATAAATTATGAAAAGTTGGGTGGGGAATGAAAAAATGAAAAAGATTAAGGGCCTATTCTGAAAACCCCTTTGCATAATAAGTACCATCATCCATCTTGAGAAAACCCTGTTGAGTTCGAACAGATCTTGGCTTGTTACCAAAGAAATTCAAATCCCTTCATCGGAAGCTAAAATAGAATGTCAGGAATGGAACGGCTACAGAGGATGTTCGCCGGCGCAGGAGGCGCACTAGGTCACCCACCACCGGACTCTCCGACTCTCGATACATCGGAGCAAGTTTACATCTCCTCCCTAGCCCTCCTCAAGATGCTTAAACACGGTAAATTCTGTTCCTTAGGGTTGTTTGTTTTTGTCACATAGACCTACATGTTGGTGATTATACTTTGATGAAATCGATTAGGGTTTAACAAATTGATTTGCTATGTTTTGTAGGAAGAGCGGGAGTTCCTATGGAAGTCATGGGGTTGATGCTTGGGGAATTCGTGGATGAATATACGGTTCGTGTGGTGGATGTTTTTGCTATGCCTCAAAGTGGTACTGGTGTTAGCGTTGAAGCTGTTGATCATGTTTTCCAGACCAACATGCTTGATATGCTTAAACAAACTGGCAGGTAATTGTGATTCTGTTGATTCTCTATTCACCAACTTTGGGTTAGTATCGAAGTTTATAATCTTTGATGTCATGTAACAACAAGAACTTGTATAATTTGGGTGTTTATATCTGTGGTTACAACTTACAAGGGCATGTTGAAATTTGGAGTGATATTAGGGATAACCTAACATAAAACTGGTGTTCAAATGGAGCAGTTAATGTGATCTCATCTCATACACCTAAGAAAATCTTTACAATCACTTAGAAGAAAGTTAGATGCCAGATTATTTCACTACAAAATTATAGTGGAAAAGGGTAAACAAAAAAGAGACTGTAATGAGTTATGGATGCAAATCTTATTTTAGAGGGGATCAAAAAGTAAACAGCTTATATAAATGTTAAAGATGCTTCTTCTGTTTTTCTACAAAATCGGGCCTTTTCCTGCATCTTTGACATCTTAATTTGTTGTCAATTGATATGTTTCTATCTCGCATTATAAAATTCTATAACTTTGAAGGATTTGTTATATCTAATGTCATTGTTTTTATTATAACTTCAGTTTATTTTTTTGAAAAGTTCATGTATATATATCTATATGATAACTTCAGGATTTGTTATATCTAATGTCATTCTGTAACTATTGCACATTCCCAAATATTGTTCATAACCTTTTTTTCCATTTGAAACACTACAAGTAATTTCTGTTTTAATTTCCAATATCAATTGTTTCTTTTGTTTTTTTTTGAACAGACCAGAGATGGTGGTTGGGTGGTATCATTCACATCCTGGATTTGGTTGTTGGTTATCTGGAGTTGACATCAATACTCAACAGGTTTTCTACTAATTTCTCTCAATTTCATTATTTCAATCTACATAACATAATCATTGCTACAACAATTAATAAATAATAAATTGCAGAGTTTTGAAGCACTGAATCAACGAGCAGTTGCAGTAGTGGTGGATCCAATCCAAAGTGTGAAAGGAAAAGTTGTAATCGATGCTTTCCGTTTAATCAACCCCCAAACTATGATGCTTGGCCAAGAGCCACGCCAAACAACATCTAATCTTGGACATCTTAATAAACCATCCATCCAAGTGAGTTAAATCTTTTTTTTTTTTTTAATACTTAATCTTCCTAAGTGTGTTTCCTACTTTCTTCCATTTTCTGAAATATTGTTTAAACTTTTGCAGGCACTGATCCATGGTTTAAACAGGCATTACTATTCAATTGCCATTAATTACAGGAAAAATAAACTTGAGGAGAAGATGCTGTTGAACCTTCATAAGAAGAAGTGGACCGATGGTTTGACTCTCGAACGCTTTGATACCCATTCCAAAACCAACGAGCAGACTGTCCAGGTCAG